AACCTTGTCACTGCCTGGAGTCTCATCCCCTCCGACGTTACAGAGCCAGGCTGTGTCCAGATGGCTCTACATTCCCTTTATTCCCATAAATAACCATCACAGGCTTAGCCCAGCCTCAGAGAGCACCGGTGGCCACCTCGACCCTGTATTTGGGGGGTCCAGGCAGGGATCCTGCTCTCCTGCCTCCCATCCAGGCAGGGGGCAGGTAGGGGCAGCCAGGGGCAGGCAGGTGAGGGTGGCTGTTTACAACCCTAATCCTCACAGGCAGCGCTTTCCTCCGAGATTATCGGGGATTAGGGGCTCGGGGGCTCCAGGAGCTCAGCCCGGGCTCTCCCTGCCCTTCAAGGAGCAGCGCCGAGCCCCGCGGGGGCGGGAGGGCACTGCTGGGATCTGCCGGGCGTTCTCAGCCCGGCGCTGCTGGGATGAGCCGGGTGTCTTCGGCACGGCCAGAGGGCACGACCTGGAGCAGCCACTCACTTGCCACGGCCTCGCTCCGGTAGCCCCATGCCCATCGAGGCCGGGGAGCTGCGGCCCGGGCTTTAAATAGAGCATTAAAAGCTGAAGGGATCAGCTGTGGAGCGGGAGGGGGACACAGGGGGCTGCTCATTCCTGCCTGKGGGATGACGCAGAGGGGAGCCATGGCAATGCCCGGGGAGGGTGGCACAGCTGGAGAGGTCCCTGAGGTCCCCGAGGCACCCCGGGGTCCCTCGGCCCGGCAGCAGCAGCGATCCCAGGTCCCGGCCCGGCTGGGAAGTCTCCGCTCGCTACCGGGGCCCGGAGCTCTATAATTACCATGGGAGGCTGAGTTATTTTGGGAAGCGGCTTCGCTGCTGCCAAAGCTTTTATTCCTCCAAACCAAAACAAGATGGAAAGAGCCCAGCCCAGGATGCTGCATCCGGCGGGCGTGGGGAGCTTTAACCTCCTCGCTGCCCGYGGCGGGGGCTGCCCGCTGCCTCCCCCGCCTCCACCGACAGCACCCGGCACCGAGACACGGCCTGGCCTCGGGGTGCACTGCGGGGCTCAAGGCAGGGYCAGAGGGCAAGATTTGGGGTTGTAGAGACCACAGGGTGTCGGCCAGGCATGGGAGGGGGKTGGGGGTCAGTCCCATCCTTGGCTGCTGGCAGGTCCAGAGGCCGAATGTTCGTCTGCTTCCCTGCATCCACCGTGAGAATCGCTATTTTCAGCTCTTTCTCTTGCAACGGGTCCAGTTTGGGAACCTTCCCAGGGCGGTGATAGGGCTGAGGAATGCCATGGGCATGGAATGGGCACCCAGGAATGTCACAGGTAATGCCATGGGCATGGAATGGGGCACCTCTCCGCTGCTCCCAGTCACACAAAGCCCCAAAAGCCACCAAAGGACAAGCAGAAGCTCTGCTCTCTGCTCTCCAAAGCAGCCAAACAGATTCCAAGCTGGGAATAAACTCATTTTTCGCAGCCTGGAAAGGATGAGCAGGCACCCTATGGTGCTCCCCCAGATCTGCTCCAGCATGAGGAGGTTTGGGGGAATGTGCTCAGGGTGGACCCTGAAAACCTGGGATGGAACTGCTGCCCTTGTGCTTCTTCCCCTTGATCTGAGCCCGTGGGGGCTGCCTGGGCCTGGAGTCTTATAGTGCAGCCAACAGAACCCCAAACCCATGGTCTGGGGTCCTCCAAACCCAAAACCCACATGCTGGGGTCCCACAGCTCCCCAAACCCACAGGCCAGGGTCCCCCCCCATCCTGGGGTTGTCTCTGCAGGTAACTCCAGTCGCTGGCCAGGGTAGGGGGGTTTGGGGGTTCTGGGGGTCCACGTTCCCCAGGTCTGGGCTCTCCAGCCCCTGGAGGGGTTTGCACATGGGATCAGCTCCATAGGATGGTGGCACAGCAGTGGGGATGGTGGTACAGCCCTCCAAAGCCACGAGMCAAGGTGGTGCCACCCCAAACCCTGGGCACACAAGGTCCCCCGCCCTCCCTGGGCTAAACCTTCCCACAGCCCCTCACATGTACCCGCCCCCCAAATCCTCATCAAGGATTCACCAGGCAGGGCTGCTCTTCCCTGGTCCCATCCTGGCACTGGGCAATCAGGAGCACCCCTCACTTGCCTCCCCACCAGAGCCCTGCCAGGAAGGGTTTGTGCTGGAGCTGGGACAGGGCAGCAGTGGGACTGAGGGGAAGCARTTTCTCCCATCAGAAGCAGCTGAGGCTTCCCAGAGCCCCCCAAGTGCCCCCTCCCAGATCCCTGTGTCCCCACAAGAGCAGCAGCTGGGTCGGGGATGGGCCCCATGTGTCCCCAGCTGGCAGAGAGGGGCAGGACAGCAAAGCCGCGTTCCCAGTGCTGTTTAAAATGCCGTGTTTGTGTAGACCCTACACAATGAGGTAGGAATGCTAGCAAATGAGGTAGGAATGTGTGCCCCATGGGATTTCCCCACCTGGGAGCAGAGGACACCTGAGGGGGGACAGGAGCTACAGTGACAGCCTTTTCCCCCATCCTCATACCCCACACCCCACTCCAGATATGGGGGAAATTGAGGCAGACAGGAACCAAGCCCCACCATTGGCCCCAGAGCCCCAGGGGAGTTTTGGRGCTCTGGATGTTCCCCATGGAGCCACCAGGTACTGGTGATGTGTGACCCAAAGAGGTGGCTCCTATCCTGGCCCAGGCTGCAGAGGGGGYACACAGAGGTGTGACAGTGACACCAAACCCTGGAGAGGCGACTCCAGCTGCCCTGGAACCAGGCAGAGCCCCTGGCCCCGAGCCACAGGGATGGATCCTGTCCCCAGGGGACAAAGGATCTGGGGACAGGGCCAACCACGACAGACACCATGCAGAGCCATGTGCCAGACTCAGGATGGGGCATCAGAGGGGAGGAGGGTGGGAATCACCCCAGGATGGGCTGGAATGGCAAGGGTTCCAGGGGATACCTGAGCCATCGCCTGCTCACCACCAGAAAATCCTCATGTGGGGGAGAACCTTCCTGCAGCCAGGGAGGGGGCCAGACCCCACAGCCCCACAGAGCTGGACACCCCAGCTGGACCCCAATGACCCCCCTCCATCCCCACACACCCCCATGGGGTTGGGTGCCCTGGTGGGATCCCAGTGACCCCTCTCCATCCCCACAGAGCTGCGTGTCCTGGCGTGTCCTGACAGGTCCCCAGCACCTCCTCTCCTTGCCCATCTGAAGCCTCATGAGGACCCTCTGCCCATCACAGGATGTTCCCCAGGGAGGGTCCCTGCTGCACCAGTGCCCACCGTGCCAGGATTCTGGGAGAAGCTGCCCTTCCTCCTCTCCCCTGGAGTCCTAAACTTCCCCACCAGGAAGGTGACAAACCCATGGCCGGTGGCTCACGGCTGGGGACACCCAGATCCCCACATGCCACCATCCCAAACTGGGGTCAGGTGTGGGCAGGACCCTACCAGGGACATCCCTGGCTGGGCACAGAGAAGGATATAGGAGGGGACAGTGGATGCAGTGGCAGCTCCTGGTGGCCTTGTCCCTCCTGGCAGGCAATGGCTGTGGGGACAGCCAGGTGCTGGTGATGGGATGGACCCCTCCCACGGGGCTGGATTTGGGCACAGGGTGCTGCACACTTCCGTGGGGAGTCTTTGGGTGACAATGACAGATGGGACCTCTGTGGCTGTGCCACAGGCACCTCCCTGCCTGGTGAGGGGCTGTCCCAGCCCATGGCTTGGTCTGGGACAATTTGCTGGTCATGGGGGTGACTGAGTGGCCACTTGTCATGACCAATGGCACTGGCATCACGAGACACACCAAACCCCACAGTTCCACACCCCACAGCTCCACCCAACTGGGTTTGGGGGGTCCCACTGAAGGGCTGGGGGGTCTCCTGGRGCCCTGCTCTCCTGTGGCAGCAGGGGACTGGGGACCCTGGTGTTTCCCAAGTGTGATGGCCACAGCGGGGCTCCCACCCCAATATTCTGGGGCAATGACACTGTTCTGCTCCCAGAGCAGACTCAGAGTGGGAAGGTGACACCAAGGGCAGTGTGGAGTCACCAGGGGCAGAGTGGAGTCACTGAGGGTGTCGTCACAGCCCCATGACACCCATGGCAGGGTGTTTGTCCCTGTCCCTCACTGGGGTGCTGGGGAACAGGCAGTCAGGAGCCACCCCAGGAACGGGGACAGAGCCACTGTCACCACATTCCCTTTGGTCCCTCCAGGACAATAATCCATGAGATTTCCTGGTAGGAGTTACAGCCTGAATCCTGTGACCCCTTCAGGCTCCGTCCCCAGCTGCAGMATCACTGGGGACATCCTTGGGGACATCCCTTCCCTGTCATTCCCCCATGAGCTCCTTGGGCTCCAGCTCTTCTCCAGCCTCCAAAGCCCAGCATCTCCCAAGGGTGGAGATCCCACACCTTGGGGACCTTAGTTTGGTTCAGGACGTGATGAGGACAGATGGGTGGCTCGGGAGGGCCATGGGCTACCCCAGCAGGAGCCACCTCCGTGACCCCTGGGGCTGCTTTCACACCAAAGGCGAAGTAGCTCCACAGCACCGACGGTCACACAGCTCTGTCACCTGCCTGCCACCACCCTGGGGTGACAGTGGGCACGGTCACCAGGCCAGGGAAAGGACACAGGGATTGGGGACCCTGATGACACAGGCAGGGATGGCACCAGCCCCAGGGCTGGGAGTACCCACAATGGGGTGGGGACAGCAYGGGGAGGACAACAGCACTGCCCCCACGGGGTGAGCAAGCTGGAGACTGCCCCAACGGCCGGTGCCACCGCCCACCCTGGGCAGAGGGAGCGTCCCCTCCTGCCTCAGTGTCCCCAGGAGCTCCCGGCCCCCCCGGGGGTGGCGAGCGATTGCCAACAGGCCGGGCAGCGAGCGGGGAAGGATTTATTGACTCACGGCTCGGGGTACATCACAGTTTGAGCTCCCTTCCCGCCTCCGCAGAGGACGTCGCCTTGGACTTCCCGGGCAAAAGTGCACGGAGAGGCTTCACAGTTTGATCCCTTCGGGAAAGCAGAACCGAGGCAGTGACAAATGGCAAACGCTACGTCGTATGAAAAAATAATACAAACTCTTCTCTTTAAATATCTTACAGAAAAATGAACCTGAATAAAGAGCATGAAAAGCACCGCGTGGCGCAGCCCCCCCTGGACCCCCGGGRCAGGGGGACGGAGATGAGCCACGGCCCCACGTCCCTCCGGAGCACCCGGCGCCGTCCCCGGGTGGTCAGGGCTCAGCACGGGCAGCGGAGGCGCAGGGGCGGCAGGGACAGCTACGTGCCCATCCCCACGCCATGGGGGCGTCCCCGCGGTGCCCTCGCTCGGCCGGGGGTGCCGGCAGCCCCCTGAGCCTGGGGTGCCGGCGGGAGCAGCGTGAGGGGCCGGCCGAGGGCGTTGCTACGAGGGTGCCCCGGGGGCCGCGGGTCCCTCCTGTGTCGCAGTGCAAGTTCACGGAAAGCCAAGGCACCGCCGCGAGGCTGCGGCTCTGTCCGGGGGAGCCCGCGGGGCTCGGCCGAGGGCAGCCCCGGTGTGCAAAGGGGAGGTGAGCCGGGRTGGGGACACGGGGACGCGGTACGGTCCCCGCGGTGCGGCCGGCCGGGCTGGTCCTGGCGGTCAGAGCTACGGCGTGGGGGTGCCCAGGGCCATGCGGCCTCGGGGAGAGCCGGCTCCCCGGGGCGGGGTGGGGCGGGGCGGGCAGCGGGGCGCGTCCGGGGTCCCGGGATCCAGCCCCGGGCGGGGCAGCCCAGGAGCGGCCGGTGGTGAACACGGCTCCTTCTCCCGTGGCTGCGGAGGGTGCGGGTGAGGGCTCTACCGGGGGGGCGCGGGCAGCCCCCCCTCCCGCYGGTGCGTCTCCCCGAAGGCTCGGTCCAGCTGCTCCAGCTGCGAGCTCAGCGGCAGGTGGATCTCCAGGTGCATGCGCAGCGTCTCCAGCCACTGCTCCAGCTTGGCGAAGGACGGCCTGAGCGACAAGGGCAACACGTGGCAGCTCCGCCGGCTCTGTCCCCACCCTGGCTCCGCCCCACGGTCCCCTGGGGGGAGACCCCCTCCATCACCCACCGCTTCTCGGGGTCCAGGTCGCAGCAGCAGACGGCAATGGGGAAGAAGCTGGGGGGGCAGGCGGGGGGGCAGTAGCGCTCCAGGAAGCCCCGGACGTTGAGGCCGAAGTCGGTGGTGCGGGGCAGGTAATCGGGGTCAGCGCTCACCCGGCCGATGATCTGGGGGAGGCRGGAGGGACAGGCCAGCTCAGCACCCAGGGGGGACCCCAGCCCCAAACAGGGACTTCTAAGCCCCAAGGGGGAGATGTCCACACAATGAAGAAACCCCAACCCCAAGGAAGAGACCCCAAAAGGGAGACTGCAGACCCAAGAGGAGAAACCCYAACCCCAAGGGAGGACTCCAAACACCCCAACCCTTTGGGGCACATCACAACCTTGRGGAGTGACCCCAAACACCAAGAAGATCCCGGAGTCCATGGCAGTCCTGGCCCCAGGGGCACTTGCCTCACACAGGACGATGCCGAAGGAGAAGATGTCCACTTTCTCATCGTAGCTCCTCCCTGCAGGGACAGACACGGGATCAGCCATGTCACATGGCCTGTCCCTGCCCCACCACAKGTCACCTGCCTGGGGACACAGCCCCGCCTGGCCACATTGCCCTCACCATTGATCATCTCGGGGGCCATCCAGTAGGGGTTCCCCACCACCGTGTAGCGCTTCTTGCGGTCCGGTTTCTTCAGGTTCTTGAGATGCTCGGGCTGGTTCTTCTCATCCACCATCAGCCGTGCCAGCCCAAAGTCGGCCACCACTACACTCTTGTTCTGGGGGGACAGGGAGGGGTGAGGCCTGGGGGGACCACGCAGGGGTCCTGGAGGGGGAGGCCAGGCTGAGGGCCCTGGCCAGGCTGGGGGAGGACAGCAGCGAGGTGGGACTCACCTCCCGCACGAGGCAGTTGTGAGAGTTGAGGTCRCGGTGGATGATGTTCATGGAGTGGAGGTAGGCCTGTGGGAAGAGTGGGCTGAGAGCAGGGGCACCCACAGCCTGTGGTCCCCCCAYCCACCAGCACTCAGCCCACCCACCCATCCCACGGGGGCACCCACCATGCCGGCGGCGATGTCCTTGGCGAAGCTGACCCGCTGGCTCCAGGGGTAGTGGCTGTCCTGGGGGACAGAAGGGGGAATTTGTCAGGGAATGGTAAAGGAAGAGGGGTCCCCCAACCCCACCGGGGCTGTGGGGTGGTGAGGGGCTGACCTGCCACCCCCAGTGCTCACCATGCTCTTGATGAGACTCCTCAGGGTGCCTCCTTTGATGTATTCGGTGATGAARTTGAGCCTCTTCTCCTTGTAGAGCACCCCGATGAATTTGAGCACGTTGGGGTGCTCCAGGCAGCGCATCACCTTCACCTGCAGGACACCCCCAGCCCCGTGTCTGTGACACCCTGAGACTCCCACAACCCTGGACAGAGCCGCTGCTCCGGGCTCAGCGGGCAGTGCTGCACCCACAGRGCCCAGTCACCCTCCCAGCTGTTGTACCCAGCTGGGGGACAGGACTAGCCAGCCCCATCCCTCATGACCCCCCCAGCCTGGGGCACTCACCTCTTTGAGGAAGGTCCTCTGCGTCTCCTCGTCGAAGCGGATCARCTCCTTCATGACCATCACCTCGCCCGTCTCCCGATGTGTCACCTGGCCAGGAGAGTGGGGACTGAGCCACCCCCAGCTCCAGGGAAACCAGGGGAGCGAGCCCTCCTCACTCGTGCCCCATCCCACCTTGATGGCCTGGCCGAAGCAGCCCTTGCCCAGCACCTCGCCGTGGATGAGGTCGGAGGGGCGGAAGATGCGGTGGGTGCGGGACACAACTCGCAGGGACTCGGAGCGCCCGATGTCCTTGCGCTGCGACGCGGGAGAGCCCACGGAGCCCGAGCCCGGGGACTTGTCCGTGCTGCAGCTCCTCCTGTGGGACGGACGGGCCGAGCTCAGCGCCCGGAGGGAACCCGGCGGGAGYGGGGACAGGGGCTGGCCTTACGTGACAGCGCGCTGGCGCGTGGCGGCCGGGTCCCCGCAGGGCGCGGGGGCCGGTGAGCGCAGGGGGCTGCACGGGGCGGGCAGGGGGCTGCCCGTCAGCCCTGGCTCCCGGCCCAGCGGCTCGTGGGGGTCGTGCTCGATGGTCAGCTGCAGCAGGCGGCTCGTCTCCTGGATCAGCAGGTCGATCTGTGCAGGGAAGCGGCAGTGGGGTGGATTTGGGGCCATCCTGGGAGCAGGGCTGGCCGGGGTGTGGCGGGGCTGGCTGGGGGKTGACAGGGGTGGCTGCAGTGTGACAGGTACCTCGTCCAGGGGGACGTGGCCGATGGGGGTCCCATTGATTTCCAGGATGCGGTCGCCCACGTGGATGGAGTTCTTCATGTCAGGGCTGATGCAGTCTGGGTCCACCCTGAGGGGACAGCAGGGTCAGACCCACGACATTGTCACAGGGGGTGTGCTGGGACACTGCCCACAGGGTCACACCCCTGTCACCATCACCACGGGGTGTGCTGGGACAAATGTCCACAAGCCATCCACAGCCAAAGGGGAGGGGACAGGCTGGCATGTCCCCTGCGAGTCACCTCTGGGAACACACAGTCACTGTTCCCATGAGCCATCCCTGCACGATGGGGATGTGTGGGCAAGACGCTCATGAGGTCACCCATTGCTGCTGGGGGACATGCACACAAGCTGCCCTGGTTGTATGGGGACACAGAGGCACACTGCCCACAGGTCACCCTTGCTTGATGGGGACACATTGCCATGGTTCCCATGAGTCACCCTCTGGGATGGGGACATGCAGTCATGGTACCTACAAGTCACCCTGCTAGAAGGGGACACGCAGGCACGCTGCTCATGGGTCCCTCCTCCTGGAGAGGGCCACGCTGGCATAGTTCTCACAGCCCATCCTGGCAGATGGGACAGTGCCAGCATGGCCAGGGACATGCCAGCACAGTCCCAAAATCCCCCTGCAGTTGGGGACGTGCCACCACGGTCCCAACAGGGCACCACCGGACAACAGTGATACCCCAGCTCAATCCTTCTGCTYCCCACCCCTAAGTGTCCCTGGGTGGATCCCAGGGGCAGAAGGGGTGCAGCTCCCAGGGAGGGGATGGGGGCAGAGGGGACAGGCAGAGGGACAGGCAGAGGGGACAGGCACGCACTCGCGGACGCGCACGGTGCGCGGGTGTTCGGTGCCGCAGCCCTGGTCGATGGAGACGGAGAAGCCGCGCTTGCCGTCGGAGCAGGCRGGGATGGAGACCAGGGTGACGGTGTGAGGGATGCGGGAGGCYGGCGAGTCCGGCAGGATCTGCTCGATCACCGGTGTCACCACCATCTGGTAGTAGCAGTGGCCRCTGTGGAGACAGCAGCAGAGGGTGGGTGGGGGTGCCGGGGGCCGTGTCCACCCGGTCCCCCCAGCCCAGGACGTACCAGTAKAGCTTGGAGCGCTCCACCAGCGCGTAGGTGTCCCCGTCGCCGATGAAGGCGCGGCAGTTGAGGCAGCTGAAGCACTCGGGGTGGTACTTCTGCTCCCCGGCCACCTGCAGGTGATGCCATCAGCCCCGGGACCCTATGACCAGGCACTCGGGGGGGACTGGGGCTCGGCTGGGGCTGTGAGCACCCACAGGTGCCCCGGGGCCATGGGGAGAGCAGGCTGAGCCTCAGGGTGGTGGGGACAGAAGTGCCACCAGGCTGGGGGTGGCTGCAGGACATCTTCCACCGGCCTGAGCCCTGGCCTGCATCCCCCAGCCCCAACATGACCCTCCAGGGTCCCCCTAAAATGCAGAGGACACCCCTGCCACACCTTGTGTGGACCCCTCTTCCCACCTTCCCAGGAGGTCCGCTATGAGACAGGGCTCCATGTCCCACCCTGGGGACCCTGTGGTGCTCACCATGACCACCCCACAGTGCTCACCATGACCACCCCAGAGACCCCGCAGTGCTCACCATGACCACCCCACAGACCCCACTGTGCTCACCATGACCACCCCAGAACCCCGCAGTGCTTACCACAACCACCCCAGAGACCCTGTGGTGCTCACCACAACCACCCCACAGACCCCGAGGTGCTCACCATGACCACCCCAGAGACCCCACAGTGCTCACCATGACCACCCCACAGACCCCCAGGTGCTCAACATGACCACCCCACAGTGCTCATCATGATGACCCCACAGACCCCACCAAGCTCACCATGACCACCCCACAGACCCTGCAATGCTCGCCATGATGACCCCACAGACCCAGCAGTGCTCACCATGACCAGCCCCTTGGTGATCTGCTCAGAGCAGCCATGGCACAGCTCCCCGAAGCGTGCCCAGTAATCCTTCTTACAGTACAGGCGCCCATCCTTCTCGTAGTACTGGTGCGACAGGGAGGCCCCGCACTCACAGCACCTGCAGCAGGGGACAGGGACCTCCTTGTCACCTCGTCCCCATTGTCACCCCGGGCACAGCTGGTGCTCACCCACCCCGTGGCTCCCTGGCCAAGCCATTTCCCCYGCTTGCTACGCAGCTGCAGGGCCATTGCATCCATGTGTCACCATCCCCAGGGTGACAGTGCAGGCTGGTGCTGCGGGGATTTGTGGGGACACGAGGGTGGACAGGGGAGGAGATGTGGGGTAGGGTGAGACATGAGCAGGCAAGTGCCAGCCCTGCATGGATGTGCCAGCCCTGCATGGATGTGCCAGCCCTGCGTGGATGTGCCAGCCTGGACACAGACACACAGAGGGATGTGCCAGACTGGTGACAGACATGCCACCCTGGCACAGACACACACAGGGATGAGACAGACTGGTCACAAGCGTGGCAGCCCAGTCACAGACACAGGGACATCCCACCCTGGTGACAGACACACAGAAAGCCATGAGGTCTCTCTACCCACCACTAGGGTGACATGACAGTCTGGTCACAGACACACAGAGGGATAGCCCAGCCTGGTCAGGGACGTGCCAGTCTGGTCACGGACACACAGAGGGATGTGCCAGACTCATCACAAACATGACACTGTGGTGACAGATGTGCCACCCTGGTCACAGACACACAGAGAGATGTCCCACCCAGGTCACAGATGTGCCAGACTTGTCACGGACACACAGAGGGATGTCCCACCCTGGGCAGGGATGTGCCAGCCTGGTCACAGACACGCAGAGAGATGTCCCACTCTGGTGACAGACATGCCAGCCTGGTTAGGGATGTGCCAGCCTGTCAGGGACAGGGACGTACCCTCTTGGTCACAGACAGCCAGAGGGACATGCCAGCCTTGGGACAATGCCCAAGGGGCACGGGGGGTTGGGGAGCTGCTGGGGGGCTTCTCAGGGTGACAACAGCAGCGTGTGCCCAGGATGCAGAGGGGACGGTCAGTTTTGGGGGGCAAGGGGCACCAGCGAGGATTTGTGTGAGGGTGTGGAAGTGACGGGGGGCAGAAGGGGGCTATGGTGGATGTTCTACAGGGTGGGGCTGGGAGTGTGAATGGGTACAGAGGATGGTGTAGGAGAGGTGCAGGGAGGCTGCAGAGGAGGAGCTCCTTTGGGGGTGAGGGGGTGCTGTAGGGGATTTGCTGCAGGGGAGGCTGTGGGGGTGCAGGGGATCGCAGAGGGGGTGCTGTAGGGGATTTGCTGCAGGGGAGGCTGTAGGAGTGCAGGGGATTTCTTGTAGGGGATCTGCAGTACGGGGGTGCTGTAGGGTGCGGGGTTGCTGCAGGACACGCTGCAGGGGGGGCCGGGGGTGCCCGGGAACTGTCGCAGTCCCCCCCCTCCCGCCCCCCCGCCGCAGGTGGAATACCAACCAGCGGTGACGTCAYGGCGCGGAGTTTCCCCACCCCATGACGTCACCGCGCGAGGACTCCCCCCGCCCGATGGCGCAGCTGAAACCTCCCCTGGGCTGGGGGCGGGGAGGAGGGGGAGGAAGAGCAGCAGGGGGAGAAGGAGAGGGACAAGGAGGGGGAAAAGGAGGACAAGGGGAAGGGGAGGAGGAAAAGGGGAAGGGGAGAAGAGGAGGAAGAATAGCAGGAGGGGGAGCAGRAGCAGGAGGGAGAGAGGAGCAGGAGGGAGAGCGGAGAAGGAGAGAGAGAGGAGCAGGAGGGAGAGACGAGGAGCAGCAGGAGGAAGGCTCTCAGCGAGCCCAGCGCTGCCGGAAGCCACTCACCCATGGGGGGGAGCAGATCCAGCTGCAGCCCCGCAGTGGCTTTGCTGGGGCCGATGGCCTGGGGAGGGGGAGCCGAGCATGGGAGACACAGGCTGAGGCCCCGGGGGTCCCTGGGGTGCAGAGCCCATCCTGACCCACTCCCATTTCAGTCCCACTCCCGCTCACACTCACTTGGCTCCGGCGCTCAGGACGCGGCTCTTCCTCAACACTGCCGCCAGCATCCTCCTCCACGGGACAGGGACACACCCCAGCGACACCCTGAGCACCCCCAGTCCCACAGGGAACCCCGTCAGGTCCCGGGCACCCCTGCACCCCCCGACCCGGGCCCTTCCTCCTCTTCCTCCTCGGGGCTCCCACGGCTGGAGCTGCCGGGAGGGCTCGAGTGAAAGAGGAAACAGGGAGGGAGGGGGGCGGGTGACATCAGCCACGCGCACCCTGTCACCCGGCAGGAGGGGACAGTGGGGGACGGGCAGTGGAGCCCTCGGCCAGGCCTGGCTTGAGCCGGGGCACCCCCCASGCGTACCAGGAGCCACAGCCACGCTCTGGCGAGGGCACCGTGATGGCCTCATGGGTGACCATGCCACGGCCAGAGTGATGGGGAGCACTGTCTCTGTCCCTGATGCCATCCCGCTGTCCCTGATCTCAGTGTCCTTAAGGATATCCATTCCAGCATCCATAACACCATCCATCCCACTGTCCCTGCAGCCATCCCAGTGTCCCCAGCGCCATCCCGCTGACTGCAGTGCCATCCCCTCCACTGTCCCCGCTGTCCCCCGGCGGGTCCCACCTGAAGCAGTCAGAGTGCCAGTCAGCCTTCAGTGCCTGCAGGTACTGCCCATCGTAGATTCCCTGCCCGCAGCTCGCACACACCGGCAGGTCGGTCCCTGCAGGCAGGGGGACACGAGGGGACAGGGCTGTCACCCCATCGGCCAGCCCCGGCCACCCACAGCAGCACCCGGGATCAAATCCCTCTGCCCGGGGTGGTGAATCCCATCCCCCACCCATTGATCCCAGAACGGGTCAAGGTCGTGGCACTGATGTCCCCAGGGCTGGGACAGGGGGTGGCACGGGGACACATGGTGGGTGCAGGATGGGGGCAGAGGGTGCAGGAGGGGCCCGGAGGATAGGATGGGTGCACAGAGTGTAGGGAGGGTGAACAGGGGCAGGATGGGTGCATGAAGGGATGCAGGGAGGATGGTGGGGTGTAGGGTGGGTGCTGGGTGCATGGGGGGACAGCAGGAGGGGTGCTGGGGGGTCCTAGGGGACACAGAAGGTGCAGGATGGGTGCTGAGGGGTTCTGGGGGACACAGAAAGTGCAGGATGGGTGCTGGGGGACAAGGTGCAGAATGGTTGCTGGAAGGGCCTGGGGGACACAGAAGATGCAGGATGGATGCTGGAAGGGCCTGGGGGACACAGAAGGTGCAGGATGAATGCTGGAAGGGCCTGGGGGACACAGAAGATGCAGGATGGATGCTGGAAGGGCCTGGGGGACACAGAAGATGCAGGATGGGTGCTGGATGGGGTATCCTGGGGGACAGGAAGAGGTGCAGGGGAACACACAGGGGTGCAGGATCAGTGCTTGGGGATGCAGGGTGCATGGGGCAACAGGGATATGGGATGGGTTCTGGGAATGAATGGGGAGACACAGAAGAATGCAGGATGGGTGCAGGGGGATGSAGGGGGACAGAGAGGAGTGCTGGATGGGTGCTGGAGTATTCACAGTGCATGGGCAGACTCAGGGTGGCTGCAGAGGTCCTGGGGCTGAGTTCTTGGGGTGTGAGGGGAAGGATGAGGGGTGCAGAAGGGAAGGAAGGCACAGCAGGGATGGGGGTGTAGGAGGCGATGCTGGCTGGACAGCGGTGCAGAGGGAGGGTTTGGGGTGCTGGGAGGCTGCAGGCAGGGATGCAGCCTGGGGGCACAGTGGGAAAGGGCTTGACACGGGGTGTAGGGGGAGATGTGGGGTGCAGGGGGGATGCAGGGTGAACAGGGGGTACAGCGGGACATTTAGGGGTGTAAGGAGGATGCGGAATGAACAGACACTGCAGSGAGACTCTGGGGATGCAACAGAGGATGCAGTGAGTGAGGTGAGCTGGATGAGTGAGGGGGGCAGGGGGCGATTTGTGGGTGCAAGAGGGATGCAGGGCGGCTGGGAGGTGCAGGGGACATGTGGGGGGCACAGGAGAGATGTAAGGTGCGGGAACGGGTTTCAGAGGGGGGTGCAGGGGTGCAGGGTGACGCAGGGGGGCTGTGGGAAGGTGCAGGCTGGATGGGGGCTGCAGGGGGATGTCGGGGTGCAAGGGGGCACGGAGCAGGAATGCAGGGAGGGATGCAGGGGGTGATGCGGGCTGGGTGAGGGGGTGCAGGGGGGAGACGAAGAATGAACATCGGGCACAGGGAGACATTTAGGAATGCAGCGGGGATGCAGGCTGGGTGGGGAGTGCAGGGGGCATGCGGGGGGTGCAGGATGGGGGCTGCGATGAGGGCGCAGGGGCCGCGGGAAGGATGAGGCTGGCTGGGGGCTGTTGGGGGGCTGCTGGGGGATGCGGGGAGTGCAGGCCGGCGGAGGGGGGCCGCAGGAGCCGGGCTGGGGGTCTCGGGGCCTGAGAGGCAGCGGAAGCGCTGAGTCAGGCGGGGGGGGCTCGGGGGGTCACGCACCTTCGTCCTCTCCCATAGGCTCGTCCCTCCAGGTGCAGCACAGCAGCATCAACCTCATGCAGCCGCGCTGGCCGGCGGCGCGCCGGGCCCTGCCGTGTGGCGGTGGCGGTGGCGGTCCCCGCGCGG